CCAAGCGTTCTAACCACAACCTCGCCCCTCCCCACCCCCCAACCATTTGAATTTCTGTAGGCGGGAATTATTTTTAATGATATTCTAATGAGCCGCTTTGTGATATCACAAAGCCCGGAAAGCAACGCTGTAGTCCAAACGAGCCGTTCGTTTTAGTTCTTGAAAAGCTCACTAAGGATTATGGGAATGCAGACACTAGCTTTTTGGACGTCACTTCCTGTTTGTTGCTGCCGTGTGTTTTGAGTTTGAGCTCCGTCAAGTTAATTCTTTGTCGTCTAATTTTTTTAATGCAAGGCAGTAAGCTCATTGGCTACATATACAGCATGAACCAATCAGCTTGTGCCAAGTCATTTAACTCTCTGAATATCATCAGTTACGTTAACACCCCGTCAGAATGTGCCATCTAGAGTTTCATGACTGAACTATATATTTCTCACACATTATTTTTCTTTAGTTTTGCATTACTGCAAGAAACTTTGCATTAGCTCGCAAAACATTTGTGATGAAAATAATATGAGGTGGGAGGAAAAAATATTTTTTAAAGTACTTTTGCAAGTGAATGCAAAGTATCTTGAGGGAACAATATTTTTGCGAGAGAACGCTAATGTTTTGCAAAAGAATGCAAAGTTTTTTGGTGGGATGCAATACTTTTGTGAGAGAATGCAAAAACATTTAAATAAAATTTTTCTTTCCATCTCACATTTTTTTTTTCCATCCTGTCCCTTTAAGGGCTTTGTATATCTGAGATAAACACTAAAACAATTCACAAAACTATATGGAGATGAGTTTAGTCTTATTGCTAAAAACTGTCAGAAGGTTCATGACTTTTGATACATCTCTAGTAGGGAGAATAAAATATAATCAAATAGCAAATGTGAATATAAATTAATAATTATGTTAAACATATTTAAATCATATTTAAAATACAAAAATTTGATGTCTAAAATCAATTTTTGGAAAAAAAAAAAAAAAAAAATTCCCAAAATGTTTCATCTGTCCTAGCACCCCCTTCCTTCCCCTTTTGAAAACCCTTGTTTTAGTCAAAATATTTTAACGTACAGTCATTTAAATTTTTTAAACTTTATTAAATGTAATTTTCAAAGATACTTTTAAGATCAAAAATCTGAATGTGCATGAAAGCATGGCACATTAGACCTCCCTCTCGGCACACACATATAAAAAAATAGATCCTGTTTGAGCACACATAAATCATATGCTCTCCGGAGCGCATGAAAAGTGTGCAAATTATACATACAACACACCTAATTGGCGAAGAGTCTTCCTGTAGTGATTTGTCAAACTCCCACATACAGACAAACTAAATAGCAGGACTGGTTAAGCTAGAAACAAGGTGTCATCATCTTCACACTTCTCTTAGTCAGCCATTCGCAGCCAACTGGTGTGGCATCGTTTCAGTCCACCTCAGCACTTCCTGTCAGTGTCATGAAAACAAACCAGCATGCAATGCAAAGCAACATAAAAATGCAATTTTCCATAAGCAAAACCGAAAAATGCATGTTTCACTGCATCTTTTATTAGCCTACGAATTTGATGTGGTTACTGACTTGCCATCTCGCAGTGGTTTGCCCATACAGCCTCACTAGTTCCTGTTTCAATGTCTGGCATGATTTGGGAGGGTGATGCAATAGGATGCCACACCAGTGCAGTGCAGGGACAAAGAAGACCAGCTGCATAACACAGCAGGACACCCCGCAAATAAGCCGCGACTCAACCAAGACGCTGTCTTCTGATCATACACAGATGCACAGGGATTCAACTGTGGATCTGTGTGTAACACCTGATGCAGGAGTCAAAGTCAAGACAAAGCGATGCATAACAGCGTGACGCCACAATCAACTGGCGTTTGATTTTTTAATCAGGCATCTGTCTCAGCAACAAACTGATCAGCGATAGAAGACAATGCAGCACTAGTAATGGGACCTACCAGCCACAAAACACACCCTCCAGAGTCCAGAATGCAGAGCCATCTTCACCTCTGTGGTCTGGTTCTGCTGCAGGACAATGCCTTCTTCCATTAACAGCCAGTAGTCCGTCGACACAGCCACACCCACCAGGAGTAACCCGCACGCCCCAAGCACAGACGACAGGAGCGTCAGCGCTCTGGTGCTAAATGAACTCATCTAGAAAGACGGGAGAGAAGAACATGCATAAATAAATAAAATATAATTTCATATAATGTGGATGGTTGCCAGGGAACTGCTATGTAGTTGTAAGGGTGTTCTGGACTGTTTCTAGATGCACTAATATTCAAATTTTAGAGTCAGTAAGATAAAAAATAAAAAACTTATTCACCAAGGATGCATTCAATTGATCAAAAGTGGCATTAAATACATTTATAATGTTACAAAAGATTTCTATTATACATATAAAAAATCCTTTTTGTCTTGGTTTCAACAAAAATATAATATAGGCTAACTCTAATAATAATATAAATAAATGCATAATAAATGTATAATAAATAAGAAATGTTTCTTTAATACCAAATCAACATATTAGAATGATTTCTGAAGGATCGTGTGACACTGAAGGCTGATTAATGGCTGCTGAAAATTCAGCTTTGGAATTTACAATTTAATATATATTCGAAATAAAATAGTTATTTAAAATATTATTAATATTGCTTCACAATATTACTGTTTTTTCTGTGTTTTGATTAAATAAATGCAGCCTTGGTGAGAGACTTATTTCATAAAAAAAAATTAATAAATAAAACTTACCAACCCCAAACATTTAAATTATTGTGTATGTCCTTGGTGAAATATGTAGGTTTCATCTCATAAATATACAAACAAATAAACAGATAAACATGTTAAAATAGCACATAAAATTACATAGGCAATTCTACCCCATCTCTAAGTGTGTTTCCTAAGAAACGAAACTGATGAGCTTGGTGTTGCAACTGAGAAACTGAGCAGATAAATGAACTGCTATTTGTTTTTAATAATGTTGCTACTTACCTTTTGTAGAGTCAAACAACTTATGTTTATAAAAACAAATATTTGCAACTATTCAAAATGAAAAGAAAGAATTCTACTTAGTTTTATTCGGCAATTGTTCAACAACTTATGTTTCTGGAAAAAAGTACCCATGATGATACATCCATTTGCCAATGATTCATACTCACAGTACTTAATTTGTGCAAAAACCCAAAAATTGCTTTACTGGGTTTTCTTTCGATATCAACCATTGACCAATTAAGGGAACCAGAGTGCACTATAACAACTATAAGCCAGGAGTGATTATATTAGCTGTGCCTGAAGGGCTTGATGAAAAATTCCTCTCCATCGACTACTGAACTAGTGTGTGACTCATCAACAGAACAAACAGATGAAGGACAAACAGTGTCCTTTAAATAGTGTATGACTAAAATGATTAGGGGCAAGCGTGCAGTGAGACATATCTTCAGAATTACATGAGGGCTTAAAGACACTATAAATCATTCGTTATTTTATTTGATGGCTTTTGCCTCTAATGAACAGGACGGAATAGACAGGAAAGTGCAGGGAGAATGGGATTGGGATACAAGCTGGATTCTGCACCCCATGTGAGCATGTGCACTACCCACTGTGCCAACGTTGGCCATTAATCAACTAGTCCCTAAAAGGTCTGCATTCTGATAAATAGTTCTGGATCACTAGCTAAATTCATCCTTTAAGGTTAAAGGGCAAGGGTGAAACCATGTTTGTAAGCATCACAGCTGCCTATTGCACTAATGTATATCTGTTGAATAGATCAACATCCAAGCTTGAAGGTTAACACCGAAAGAGACCATCAGAAAAAAGAATCGAGAAATGTAGAGAACGTGAAGTGTATCAGAAAGCTTTTGCAGTGTAATGCCTCCTGGATTGCTACACGTTTTGCTCTCACGCTCTGAAACACGAGTGAGGATTTGACTGGCATGCCTCCAGAAGTCCCACAATTCCCTTAATTCACTGAATGGCACCATATAGCTGGTGGATTAGAAACCCGGAAAATTAACATTTTTTGGGGGGCTTGGTTTTTGGCAGGGAGAGAAGAACACAATAATGGGTTATTATTGGTGAAATCCTCTCCGGTTAGTGTCGGGAGCCCCAGGGTGTGCTTGAAATGAATGAAGGATACATAGTGAATGGTGGTTTATGTGTGCGGGTTAAGATAATCCACAGAGCATTGACAGAGCAAAGCTGAGGAGAAAAGGGGTGCTTTGAAGAAAGTTAAAGGTGAGGAAAAATGGCTTTGGGAAAGATAATATGGTGAATAATGAAGTTCCTCTGAAGAAAGCATTAGCACTTTGGGTACCAGCATTGCAATAGTAGTACATTTTATGAAGAAAATGTGAGCAATATGTGCATGTGTCTGGAGTGTGCTGGATAATTGGTCGTCCAAAAAAAAACAAAAAAACATCCAGCAAGCAAAAATCATTGCTTGATTGCTTTTTTTTGTTTTTTTTAATTGTTGCTCAATCTATATAATATGATTTAGTCAAAACAGAGTTAGGGAATTGTTCAAATCCCTAATGCTAAGTATGCACAAAATGATAACATTTGCACCTCTGTTTAAGTGTGCAAATAGTGTACTAGTAGTATATGGTCATACTAAACAGATTAAAAAAAAATACATGAATAAATCATAGTGGTCAATATGTGCATACTGCAGAAACAGCTGGTCATGTGATATGGCTATTGAAATGTAAATGTGCAGGTACCAGATGTAACCCGTTTTTAAAGCCGTGAGGGGCGAAGTGAGTAGAAAGACACTCAATGAAAGAGAAAAAGATAAAAGAGAGCGAATCAAGGCTACAGGGTGGGAGAGAAAATAGTGAGGCAATTGGGAGCTGTCCGTCGCAGTGGTGCTGAAATCAGGCGACGCACAGACCTGTGTTCCCTCACCAAAGCTCTGTAATCTTGATCAAGAAGGGTTTCTGGATGTTTAGCGATTTGTGAAAATACAAAGTATGAAATATTTTATTTCTGTCCAAAACACATATATGTGTAGCAAAAATGCACTCTAGTAAAAGTAGTCAATCCACTGTAGAGAAAACCTCTTTTATAAACTGAAATAAAAAGAAATGTGGATTCTAGAAGTAATCAAAAAATGTTAAGCCCACCCTAGCATCCAACAGGAAAGTAAAGTAACTGTACAGTGCTGTAATCTACATTGGGCTGACAATCTGGCAGTCCAGTAAAACTCAATAAAACCCTCACTGCTGTGACCATTAAAAACACTATAGCATATCTCAACCAATCTAAAACATCAGCCCCTATTAGACGTACAGCACAAAAGAACAATATCCAGTCATCCTTTATATCTTCCAGGGGATTTGGGCAATATATGTCTTACATCAGAGGGCATTCAATATATGCCAGACATGACCACATTTGAAAGACAGCCCTCGTGGTGTACTGGGGGTTCCACAGATGGTGTGTCCACTCGACTGGGGAGCAAGAGCCCAAGGGGAGTGTAGTTTTCTGTTGAGATGGCAATATGTTCCCTTGTCAGCAGGTTAGGCCAACTGGCAAGTGGGAAGAGTGTGGGAGGAAAATGAGTAGAGAAAACAGAGAGATGCGTGCTTTGTGAAAGGATGGTATTCAAGTAGAGCAAAAGGCATGAGAGGGAAAAAAGGACAGGGTCTGGGGAAAGACCTTGGCCCAAAATATCTCAGAGGACAGACGTGCATGCAGGCCTGCACGCATGTGCGAGCTCTCAATGACACACGCACATGCATTCACATGTGCACAATCATGACTTCAGCTCACTTCACAGAGATAGAAAGCACCATTCATAAAGTTCAAACTGATATCTTTATTTCAGCTGAGCCACAAGAAGCCAGAAAACAATCATACATAACTCAAGGCAGAATCAACAGTATATAAATATATAAAACTATTCGGCCATTCTACACATCACTTTGTCCTCATCCGCTCTCTCTCTCTCTCACACACACACACACACACACACACACACACACACACACACTCCCCAAAGAATCTTTCAGTCATCCGTTCTTAAAATAACCATTTTTTCGTAGTCTGACGAATATTTTAAACATCTAAAGAGCCTTTTTCCACTATAAAGAACCTTTTGTGGCATCAGAAGTTTCCATGGATGTTACAAATTCTTCATGAAACCACTGATTACAAAAAAGAACCTTTATTGTTAATATATCGATGTAATTACATTTCCTGTCCTCTGCAGTTTTATTTTATTACATTATTTAGCATATTAAGCCATTTCCTCATAAGAACAGCTGGATGGACCCCACAAAGTAGGTGATATCAGATTGTACTATCCTTGCATCCTTTTGGTCCCTACAACAGAGATAAACGTTTTTTTTTCTCTGTCATATGAGGACTCTCTTATTGGTTTAAATACTCAGCTAATGGTGTTTCCTATCCCTTGCACCTAAACACAACCCTTACAACATTTCTGCATATCTACATACCATTCAGGACCGTATTTAGCCTACTTATACAGTATGTAAGCTGGTCCTCACTATGTAGCTGATTTCAGGTTTTATTATCCTTGTTATAGGGACATTTGGTCCTCACAATGAAGACAAATCCTGACCCACACACAAACAGCGTGACTACCGCTTCTCAAATCCCCACAACCGCAGTACACTCTTTCCTCGTGGCGTTACCAAAGTCAGCACTAGAGAAATGTACAACATCCATGACACATACAGTACCAGTCCCGCCACGACACGAGCCTATACTCTTACCTGACTAGGAGTCTACAAAATATACGATACAAAACTCACATCTAAAATAATTAAAAAGAAATAAATACAACAACATTAAATGAGCGTTTCACTAGCTATATTACGTGGTCCGCAGTCGATATACTCACATGCAAGGACTATAAGATATGAACTGACTGATTCTGTCATACTTGGCTCGAAAGCACCGGAACGAATCGATCTCTCGGACTTCAAACTATGCTGTGTAATCACGCGCCACTAAGGCGACGGTAACGTGCATGAAGAACGAAGAGCGCGAGAACTCACCGTCCAGCACGCGACCCGAGTCAGCGCTGCACAGGCGTCGAGAGGAATGAGCGAACGCCTGGAAACCTTGACAGATTTTGCAGTTTTCCTCTCTCTCTACCTCACTCGCTCTTTCACACACTAACACACACTCCACACACGCGTGTTCTCTCCCTCGCTCTCGCGCGCTCTCTCACTCTTTCAGCACTGCGGTGATTTGGCTGAATGGGGAAGGGATGACAGAAGAGAGACTTTCACTCATGTAGTTTGACGCTGATGAGGCTCAATAAGGTGACGGTTAGTTTTAGGTCTGCATTTGTCGGTGAAGGCATGTGAGTCAGATACGGATAATTTAACATTTAATTAGCAGATTGTTCCCTAAACGACCAAAACTAAAATGCATATGTGCTTACTTATGCGTACTTTCTTGTGGTACATGTGATTGCTTGATTGATTTGTACATAAAGTGATTGGATACCTGAAATTACTAAATACACTATGTGACCCTGGGCCACAAAACCAGTAAGGGTCAATTTTCGGAATATTTTTCTGAGATTATACATCATCTGAAAGCTGAATAAATAAGCTTGCCATTGATGTATGGTTTGTTAGGATAGGGCGATATTTGGCTGAGATACAACATATTTGAAAATCTGCAATCTGAGGGTGCAAAGAAAAATCTAAATATTGAGAAAATCGCTTTTAAAGTTGTCCAAATGCAGTTCTTAGCAAAGCATATTATTAATCAAAAATTAAGTTTTGATATATTTATGGTAGGAAATGTACAAAATATCTTCATGGAACATGATCTTTACTTAATAACCTAATGATTTTTGGCATAAAAGAAAAATAAATAATTTTGACCCGTACAATGTATTGCTGGCTATTGCTATTTTTGTGGTCCAGGGTCACATATATATTTACAATATAGTTTTCTCAAATAAAAAAAAAAATAATATAAACAATATATTGTACTGTAAAGGTATATGTACAGTATGGTCTTAAATATATATATATAGTAGAAAATATATTGAAATCACACCTTTACAATAAAATTACATATATTTTTTGTAAAATATATTTTTACAGAATATGGTAAGGAACCCTTTAACTAATAATTTATATATACACAAGACACTAAAATAATGCAACATGCATTAAATAAACAACAAACTGCAACACAAAAGAACCTAATGTACATAACTGTTAACAAAAATAATTAGAAACATTTAAATATAAACTAAATTGAAATTATTTGCAGAGGGAATGTCTCTTATTGCAATGCAATGCACACTTTTTTACTTCTAAAAACATTTGAACAACATACTTTTACTGTAAATGTTTATTTATGGTCTAAAAAATATTAAATATAAAATATATTTTAAAAGACAACATGTATTTTTGTAAAAAAAAAAAAAAACTAATATGTATTAATTTAATATATTTTACAGTATATGGTAAGATTATAATTATAAGGCAACATTTTACTAACATTTTCTACAGTGCATAACAGTTTTCAGTTATTATTTTAAAGTGATACAAAATATAAAAAGCTATATGGTGAAAACAATGAGGAACAATATCAGAATTTACCAATATTTACAGGCATAATGTCTTAAATTAAACTATGCTCTCTCAAAGGGAACAATTTCAAACTCCCATGTCAAACTCATCTGAAAGTATGGTGAATAACAGATGTTTAGGTCCACAGATGCCCACTGTACTGCAGTAAAAGAAAGGTAATTCTGCTGTGGGAAACGTAGCGATACCACTAGACTGCAGCACATAAGCAGATGTTTACAACACTGCAGTGTGTGTGTTGTATGCATCCTCTGAGTGTCTGTATGTGATAAACCATTATGTGCTAAAGAAAAAGTGTGTGTGTGTGGTTCAAGGTGCTGCACTGCACAGCCTTGGGCTTTTTTACTCCCAACCTGCCCATGCAGCAGAGAAGCTCTGATGTTTGTGGTGCATGTGCATTTGTGCTTGAACGAGGAGGAGTAAGGTGAAAAAACGAAAGATGGTCAGGTGGAAATATTTAGATTAAACCACAACATAATGCATATGCAACATACACTCTCAGAGTGGGAAACAATAATGCAAAAAAACCTTTAGGGGTACAACATCTGGTCATTGGGGCACCTTTGTACCTTCTTAACCCCTAAAGTGTTCATAACAGTACCATAAGAGTACATATTACTACTCTTACAGCACTAATTTGCACCACTATATGGTATACTAATGCACTAATATATAGTGCATTAGTAGTGCATTATATAGTATAATATATAGCGCATTAATAATGATCTCTATGATGAATTTCAGTCAGGCTTCAGGCCCCACCATAGCACAGAAACTGCACTTGTTAAAATTACAAATGACTAAATGGGGAGTCATCTCAATTATCACCAGTAAAATATGGAGTGCCACAAGGATCTGTCCTAGGTCCTCTGCTATTTTCAATATACATGTTGCCCCTTGGTAATATTATCAGAAAATACAGGATTAGTTTCCACTGTTATGCTGATGATACTCGACTATATATCTCAACAAGACCAGATTAAACTTCCAAATTATCTAAGCTAACAGAGTGTGTTAAAAATGTTAAATTCGGATAAGACAGAGATATTACTTACTGGACCAAAAAACATTAAACAGAATCTCTTGGATTACAATTTGCAACTAGACGGATGTACTGTTACTTCCTCTACAGTCAAAAATCTGGGTGTTATATTCAATAGCAACTTGTTTTTTGAAAATCATATTTTCCATGTTACAAAAACAGCATTCTTCCATCTTAGAAACATTGCCAAGCTACGAAACATGTTACCTGTTTCTGATGCAGAAAAGCTAGTTCATGCATTCATGACCTCTAGTTTGCAACGATTTGTATCGTGAAAATCGCTATACAAATAAACTTGAATTGAACTAATATGCACTCCATGGAGGTAAATAAGATACAAAGTGTCCCTTTGAGAGTTCGGCACCAGTGACAAGCTATTGTACCCCTAAAGGTACACTTTTTGCAAATTTTTTCTGACAGTGTACTGTACAAACACAATCGACCACCCACCCACCTTTTTCTCCTCGGGTGCTTCTTGTGTCTTAGTTGAAGACATTTAACATTCAGTCAATTTGGTCAGGATCAATAACAGAGCTGAGAGATAGATTTAGATTTAATAATTCAGTGGATAAACTTAGGCATTCTCATCTTTGTTAATCATTCTAACTGAAAGACGGTGATAAAAAAAAGAAAGGAAAAAAGAAGATAAGAGAACAGTATAGGGAAGAAATGCATCAAACAGTAGAGAATAACAGTAACCCTTCAATTTTGTTGCGTAACCTAATGGATTTAGGTTGATTTAGTGATGTTAAAAAGTAGTTTTAACTTATAGGGGAAATTTCACCAATTTAATTTTATTCTCGCTGTAGTATTGTTGCTGCCGCCATGTTGTGGAGACGCTGTGTGTTTTGTTGTGAAAGCGAAACTACTTTGACTGGCCTTCCAAAAGAGGACGATATCCGCTTCGTCATGCCTAGACCTGATCCGTGCTGGTCGCTGAGGAAATACATCAACTTCGCGCTGTGGATCGCCAGATCGGCTTTCACCACGGACGAAGCGGAGTCCGGCCCGGGGTCATGACATGTGGTTGCCGCAAGCCCGCCGGCTGCTCCTTCGTCGAATCTGCCGGCCGCGCCGTTCTCAAGTCCGCCGGCCGTTCCTCACTCTAGCCCGCCGGCCTCCGCTCACTCAAGCCCGCAGTGTGTGACGCTGTGTGACGCATTTTATGGAGGACTGTTTCCTGAACCTGCAGTCCCCACTGGATGCAACAAATGCCTCGTTTATAATGGGTTTTCATGTTTTTGTCCTGACGCTGTGGCCGGACAGGGCATCACAGTATGGTAAGGGGAGTAACATTTCCATCACACGCTTGAGGTATTCGGCCAATCACAACGCACTGGATAGCTGGCCAATCACAGCACACCTCGCTTTTCAGACCGATGAGCTTTGTAAAAATCGACACATTTCAGAAAGGCGGGGCATAGAGGAGAGACAATAATGTACAGTATGTGGAAAATAATGTGTTTTTTAACCTAAAACAGCTAAACGCATTTCATTACATCAAATACACAAAATAATGTTATTTTTAGCAGCATCATATGACCCCTTTATAAAATCAATTCATTTAAATGCACAATTGACCCTTCGCAAAAACCCGCCCTCCTTAGTTACTGTTGCTATGTCCGACAAGCCATGCCGTTCACACAATACACAACATGCGGAACAAAGAGGAAACTGACAACACACCGACAGACAAGACAGAGCAGTTTAAGTTACTTCTGGTATGAAACGTCTCAATTTAAACATTTTGTCTTTTTTTAAGTAATTCAAACAATAATACTGTTTTGTGGCTCTTTAATGTGTGTGGCACACGTGAACCGATCGTCTTTTCATATTTACTTAAAGCACAAAGTAAACATGAATGAACCTCAGAATGTATTTTATTTCAACTGCAGAAAGACAATATACACAATTTTTCAAGTTTAAGTCCACCGAAGTTAATCTACTTTCCTGTATGATTTGTTTGTTGGGCAAGATGGTGGATTTGGCGTTATGATTGGTCAGATCGCCTGTCAATCAAGCCAAGCGTTTTGCGAAATGTCAGATAGGTTCACAATTTTCGTGTCAATTGAAGCAGACAAGGCTTTTGAATATATAGTTCTAATATTTTATAAAACAGCTTTATGTAAACACTTGAATCTGTCAAACAATCTGGTGATATCATCTTTAATATAGGCTTCATCTAATTTCTAGAGCTTGCACCTAATTCAGGCTTCAATTTGCACACATACACTGAAAAGGCTTTGCCACTGGCAGTACGTAATAAAGAATTCACTTTATGGTGGTCTCAAGATTGAGCCCCTCTGAGGGTCTTCGTAATCGATCCACTCCAGCAGAGAGAGCACAGGATGCTAGGCTTTTACTCGCTCATTCTTCTTCTCTCTCCTCTTCCTCCCTCCCACTCCTAACTAAACTGCCTCACCCTTCCTCTTTTTGTTTTTTTTGTCTATTTTTAAACCCCTGGTGGGGAAACCCAATACATGTGGGATAAAAATAACACACAGTGCCGTTGACT